GTTTTCACCTGCCCAGTTCCCTCTAATCCCAGTGCTTCTCGCAGGCCCCGGATGCTCAGTTACTGGTCCTTAATTGGCACTTGCCCGCTCCCCGCAAACACCGCCCATTCATCTACCCCCTGCCCCCTCCTCTCCTTGACGTCCCCCTGGGACGGGGCGTAGAGGCCTGTGTGACCCAGGAACCTCGCCTCTTCTCGGACACGCTCTTCTCCTGGAGCCTTTCTTACTTAGTGCCTACCGGACGACCTGGGGTGCGGGGCCGAGCGTGGCAGGACCCTAGCTCCGGGTCTTGCTGCCGCTTTGGCCCCTTCTCGCTACAAGCCGCGCCTTTCTTGCCAGCCCCGCCCACTCGCGCTCGCCCCATTGGCCCCCGCAGGCCCCGCCTCTTCCCTCAGGCCCCGCCCCTCACCGGAGCCGGTCGCTGAGGCAGCTGTGGGCCCGTAGGGCCTCGGCAAAGCTGAGATAGAAGAAGCCGTCCTCGGACATCACATCTCCCAGGAGCTGCGTGGCAGGCTGGCTCAGGTCCCCCTCCCCAAGGAGGTATCCCTGGGGGACGGCCGCGGGCCCAGGTCAGGGCCCATGCAGGCTGCACCTGCCAGCTCCATCCCCACTCTCGCTTGGGGCCCTTCCCCGTTCCGTGACACGACCACGGCTCTGAGCTCAGTACGGTTCCCCAGGCCTTAGCGATCTGGTCCCCTCTCGTAACAGATAAGAACTGAAGACCAGAGAGGGGGCGTGTCCCACCCCAGGGTCAGGCAGAGGGGCTATGTCAGGCCTTGGGGTCCCAGGTCCTGCTCGCTGACTCCCGGGCCAAAGCACCCTCCTCGTTCTGGTTTTTCCGCCTGCGACACAGAGGCCCCCACTCACCAGGAGTGTGTGCCTTTCAAACTTCTTCATTGCCTTGGTGCAGCCCAGCGTCTTGAAATCCTTGAGGGCCTGCAGTGGATCAAGCAGACAGTGCTGAGCTGAGCGGCGGGGGCAGGACACTGAGGTCCGGCCTGAGGTCCAGCCTGAGGTCCAAGCCTGGCTCCTCTCCCTGCTCCTGCCCGTGACCATCGGCCGCTCTCATTCTAGCTGCCAGGCCTTTACCCATGCTGCGCCCTCAGCCTTGCCCTCCACTGCCACTCAGATGCCGCCGTTCTGGGAAGTCTTCCCCAGTGGTTAGTGCCCCTCAGTCCCGCCCCGCCCCGACACTGCCTAGCTCCTCCTGGTTAGGGGCTACTTTGCCTGCATCTCTCTGTCCTAGGCTGTGAGCTCTGCACAGGCAGGGATTGTGTCTGTCTCAGTGCGGTGTCCTTCTGGTGTCCAGTAATTGTTTGTCACCTAGATCATTGTGGGCACAGACAGAAACAGAGTCCCTTCTGCCACTCGTCAGCCTGGACATGGCATGACTGCTGGGGGCTGGGGGTGGAAGAGACCAGACAGCTCAGGACTTGCACCTGAGGCTGAGGCACTGGGGAGCCACAGCGGGTAGCAGGCCTACAAAGAGGAGAGGGGCAGAGTGAGGGTCCAGGGGAGAGGACGGGGCCTGAATTGTGGCCGGGGCCGCGGGGACAGAGGTGGGAACGGTGCGAGAGGGTCAGACAGGAAGGATTCATCGTGGGACAGATGGGGGAGGGGCGGTAGGGCGTAAGAATGGCACCTGGGGGTCTACCTTGTGACTGGAGGGCGACGGGGCCATTGCGAGGTGGGGGACCGGGAGGCGTATGGGTGGATTTAGGGGAAGCTACGAGCTCAGTGGGAGGCGGAGGGCCCTCGGGGTGGCCACGGGGAGACGGATGTAGGCGTGGGCCTCGGGAGGTGGGTTTGGGAGATGTCCGCCTGCAGATCCAAGTTTAAGCCAAGGCAACGGCAAGGTGAGGTGGTCTGGGACAGTGTGGATGAGAAGCGGATCAAAGACCGAAGGCTCGTGGAGCTTTGGGGGTCTGCGGAGTTTACCAGGAAACTGAAGGCGGACAGGCCAGCGATGGGAGACCAGAGGCATGAGAGGGAGAAGGGAAGCCAGTCCAGGGAGGCGGCTGGGTGATGGCCCAGGGGGAAGACGGGGGGTCACAGGACAGAGCGGTGTGCAGGCCGGGGAGGGAGGCCGGGGCGGGAGGCCAGGCAGCAGGACTGGCGGGTGCGCCTACCTTGTTCAGAGCCATCTGGTAGATTTCCTCCGGCGCGCGGCCCTTCTCCGTGGAGTGCAGTTTGTAGCCCAGCTTCTCTGGCATCCTCTCTACCACGTAGTTCCGCAGCTTCACGTTGCTCACTTCCGTCCATGTGTTCTCGTCGTACTGGGTGAATTTGGTCAGGTTGAGTCCCAGGGTCTTGCAGAGCTCATGGAGGATCCTGAGGGAGTGTGCGAGGCTGGTGAGGGTCTGGCGGGAGGCGTAGGGGACCCTTCTCCCCACGGGGCTTGGAGGAGGGAAAGGAGTGGGTAAGGCAGCTGGGGACAGGTTTGGGGATGGCGTGAGGTTGGAATGGGGCTAGATTTGGGAACAGCTGGCAGACTGAGGGCAGGACCGGTGTAGGATTGGGTTTGGAATGGCAGTTGGCTTTCACTGGGTTGGATGGGGGCTTAGGATGGGAAGGGACCAGAGCTGGGGGGGCAGGGCTGGGGCTGGAACCAGAAGGACCAAGTTGGAGTCTGGGTCTCGACCCAGCCTGATTGGGGCGGATAGGTTTGGGGACAGAGATGGAGTCCTGGCTGGCACAGGGGGACTGAGTTGTGGATCCGGCTAAGACTGGGCGCAGAACAGGGGCCCACCTGGCGCCAGGTAAGTCCTCACCTATGCGAGCTGGGCATGCGCATGGCTCCCAGCTCCCCAGTCCAGCCCGTCTTCTGGTCCCGGTAAGTGAGGATGCGGCCCCCAATCCTGTTGTCTGCCTCCAAGATGGTAACCTGAGGGAGGGGGGAGCATCAGCTCCTCCCACTGGTCCCCATCTCCACCCTGTGCCAGCCCCCCACCTTCCACCTCACAGCAGCGCAGACCTAGACTCGATGAGGGGAGGTGGGAGGGCTGGGGGCGGGGGACAGAACATCACAGCAAGCACGGGCATGGGACGATTTCCAAACTGCAGCAGGAAGGCCGCAGGCCAGATGACAGAGGGACTTCCCAGCTCGGGGAGGGGGGAAATGCCCCATGCGCTCAGAAGCCCCTGGTCTGGCCCTCTCTCATTCTATGATTTCAGTGAGAGGGAGAGTGGTTAGACCTCAGGGAGCACTTCCCCTGGGGTGGAGTAAGGCAGCTGTCCCCAGAAAGCTGGAAGTTTCCAGGAATTTCCCTCTAGGATGAGAGGAAGTGGGGCGGGGAAGAGTCGAAGCTCTCTGTGCAGACGTACAGACTAACGCACCCTCCGGGGTTTCCAGCCTCCCCCCCACCCCCCACCCCCCGATGGGACAGGCTAGGTCCCTCCACCTGCAGACAGCCAGCCATGCTTCCCACCTTGTGGCCGGCATCGCTGAGCACCTTGGCAGCCACCAGCCCTGCCACACCGGCGCCAACCACGATCACTTGCTGGGGCTTCGAGGTCCGATTGAGACCCAAAGTCACGACCTTGAGCAGCTGCTCGTAGTCAGGATCCCGCATGCACCTCTGGAAGGGGTCCTTGCTGTAGGCCGTCTTCCATTCCAGGGACGCCTCCAGGATGAGGATGGGGACCAGGGCGAGGAGGCGCCAGGCTGGGGGGAACACAGGGTCCATGGATACGTGGCTCTCCACCACCCCGCCCCTGCCCGGCGCCCCCTCCCCTGCTCACTTACCCAGTGAGGCCATGGCTCTTGCTGGGAGATGGTGTCTGGGTTGGAGGGGAAGCAAGGGCCACTGTGACAGGTCCCATCCCAGCCTGACTCCCCGTGGGGCTGCCCAGACCCCGCCTCAGCCCTCACCCCGATGGCCACCACTCTGTCTGAACGTGTGTCCCCCGGTCCCCAGTCTGTCCTGTGCTTCCCTCTGCTCTCCTGCCCCGACCCGCACACCTCTCTCATCCCCGCCTCCCTGCCTCTCTTCTCTCCCCGCTCTGTCTCGCCTCCTCCCTGCTCGTTTCTCCTCTCCCCACCTGTCTGTCTCCCGGTCTCTGGTCTGTGAGTCCCTGTCCCTGTCGCTCCGCTGAAGCCAGCACCACCACCTCTCCCCTCGTGCTCTCACTCGTCTGCCTGCGGGCGCCCTTCTCTTTGCTCTTAAACCAGACGAGCCCCGCCCTCCCCTCCCCTTGGGAAATCAATCGGCTGCCGAGAAATGAAAGTGCTCTCCTGGGTTGCCGGCTCAGGCTCCAGTTGAGGCCGGGGTGGGG